GCCATCGCGCCACGCGTCGCCTTTAAGCCGCTTTTCTGCCGGCGGACCAGGGCCGCTCCTTAAAGGGGCCTGGGGGAGGGGCTACCCAAGTCCCTCCCTCGACGCGCTCCTTAAAGGGAAGGGGCGCTGCGGCCGTCCTGTGAGTCGTCGGGAGTGGCAGCGACAAGGCCTCTCCTTTAAACGTTAACTCCACTTTCCCGCCGACCGCCCCCCAGCTCCCTCGCATGACGTCACCTTGTAGGCTGGTTCCCGAGCCCCGCCCCCAGCTCACATCTTAAAGGCGCAGAGCCGCCCTGTGACCGCGCCCTGGGAGTGTCGCTTGTCCTGCGCCCTCCACATTGACTGCGCTTCTACACAGAGGCGCCTAGTTAGGACCACGTCAGCCTCAGTTTCCTCGGTTGCTACATGGTTGTTTCCGAATTACATATTAAGGGGCCAGCGAAGGGGCTCAGTGGGTAAAAGCGCTTTCTGCCTCGCGCCCTGAGTTCTGGAGGGAGCCAACCAACCCCGAAACTGTTGCCCTCAGTGCCGCGGCTTGTGTGTTCCCCCGTGTACGAACGTTTTGCCCACGTGTGTGTCTGTACACCATGTGCATGCGTGGAGGTCAGAAGAGGGCGTCAGGTCGGCTAGAATTGGAGTCACAGCTGCTGTGAACCCCATGTGGGGCTGGGAATCGAACTCTGGCCCCTGGAAGAGCAGCAAGTGGTCTTAACTGACGATGTCTCCAGCTCCCTAAATGTATTTTGTCCCTTTTAATTTTATTTATTTGTGTGTCGGGGAGGGGATGTGGAAGTCAGGACGGTGTGTGTGTCTGTCTGTGTGTGTCTGTCCGTGTGTGTGTGTGTCTCTGTGTGTGTGTGTCTGTGTCTGTGTGTGTGTCTCTGTGTGTGTGTGTCTGTGTGTGTGTGTGTCTGTGTGTGTGTCTCTGTGTGTGTGTGTGTCTGTGTGTGTCTGTGTCTGTGTGTGTGTGTCTGTGTCTGTGTGTGTGTCTGTGTGTGTGTGTGTCTGTGTGTGTGTGTGTGTGTGTGTGTATATGTGTATGTATGGGGGGGGTTCTTTTCATTCCTTCCACCAAGTGAGTCCAAGAGACAAACAAAGGGCTTCAGGCTCAGCGCCTTTACCGGCTGAACCATCTCACCAGCCCATTTTTTCTGCTTTTTGAAACAGGCTCACACTTACTATAACGTCACAGTGACCCTTGTGTGGCAGCCTCCTGTGTTTGGGGGTGACAGGCTACTCTGGTCCCTAGCCTCCCCCAGGAGCTGCTGAATTTGAAGGTCCTGGGATCAACCAACTGCCTCCAAGTCCAGCCCTTCCCTCCATGGCATTCTGTGAAATGAGTGACTTCAGAGGCCTCCACGGGAAGTGCGGTTGGAGCCAGAACCCAGAGGCTCCTGTTGGTTGAATAGGTTCTCTGGAGGCACTGCCCATATTTCCACAGAAACCCTTACAGGGTTTTTGTTTGTTTGTTTGTTTTTCAAGACAGAGTTTCTCTGTGTAGCTCTGGCTTTCCTGGAACTCACTTTGTAGACCAGGCTGGCCTCGAACTCAGAGATCCACCTGCCTCTGCCTCCTGAGTGCTGGGATTAAAGGTGTGCACCACCGCTGACCAGTTCTTGCAAGTTTTTTTTTTTTCTTTTAACCCACATCCTAATGAGGAATATTCTCATTAATCATGTTAACATCATTTCTAAAGAGTAATCAGCCAATGATGGCCAAGCTGTCTCTCTGGTCAGGGCATCCTCAGTTGCACAGACAGGTCCAGGGAAGCCCGGACTACATAAGACTCCATTTAAAATAAACAAACAAACACACAAAACAATTAACTTTTCACCGTGCGTGGGGTTACACACCTAAAATCCCAACATTTGGGAAGCCGAGGCAGGAGGACCTCCGGGAGCTTGAGGCCAGCCCTGGTTACAGCATTTCCAGACCTTTTATCAAAGAAATGCATGATTCATGTTGGGGTATTTCTGGGAAAAGACCCGTTCTAAGGGGATGGCAGGACAGGCTAACTTGCTCGATGCTGGATATTATGAAATCTCATACCACGGAAGGGAACCAGCAGGGTCGCTTCCTCTGGGAAGGACTTGGCGATGGTAGCCAACAGCTGCTCTCAAAGGTGTCTCAGCATCCGCCCTGATTCCAGAATTAGCTTTTGCGTTCCGAGCTTGGGTCTCGGTGAACGTCTGCAGCAGCCAGAAGAGATGCAAGATGAGTAAGTGAAATTTAAAAACTAAACGTCCGGTGCTGAGGCCGGGGATTGACACAGCTGGACTTTGTGGATCTCAGGTTTCCTCGGGCCCAGGAGAGAGCGGTGGGGAAAACCCCCTGGAACCGTCCGGAAGCAGCTGGTGAGGCGGTGACCCAGGAGGGGGAAGAGGGGAGGTCACGGCTGGCCGTGCTGGCCTGGAAGCCAGGACTGCGGATCCCGCGGGCTGGGCAGGGGTCGGGGCTTCGCCGAGCGCCTGGCCAATCAAGCACCCAGCTCTTGGCATTTTAAAGCTCAATTTATTCATCCAAACAGTTAGAAATCAAACAATGGTAAAAGTGAAAAAGAGAGGGGCTGGAGAGATGGCTCAGAGGTTACGAGAGCACTGGCTGCTCTTCCAGAGGTCCTGAGTTCAATTCCCAGCAACCACATGGTGGCTCACAGCCATCTGTAATGAGATCTGGTGCCCTCTTTCCTATACATAATAAATAAATAAATCTTAAAAAAAAAAAAAAAAGTGAAGATGAGGACCAGCGAGGTGGCTTCGCGGGTAAAGATGCTCGCCGCCAAACTTGGTGACCCGGGTTTGATCCTTAAGACCCACTTGATGGAAAGAGAAAACCTCACTTCTGAAAGTTGTCCTCTGGCCGCCATGTGCCCACTCATGCACACACACACACACACACACACACACCCACACACACACACACCAAAAATTTCAAAGAAACTTTTAAAATTGTACGGGTTTTTAAAGTAAAAAGTAATGAAAAATGAAATTAATGGGATACATATGTCAAATCAACAGATGGATTTTTTATTTTTGGATTTTTGATTTTTATTATACAATGTCTTATTATGGTAGCCCAGGCTAGCTCAGAACTTGAGTGTACAAATTCTAGTAGGAACATACAATCTACGATGCTTTGTTGGATGTGCCGCAGTTGAAAGGCCAGAAGTAGTTCACACACTTGGGTCTTTATCCATTGTCCACCAGGGTGGGCGTGGGTGAAGACCAGCTCTGGAATGTTCTTGGAAACAAAGGTGGGTGGAGGGGCCTCAGCTCCCTCGTCTGCGGAAATGATAACTGTCACCTGGATGTCCCATGTCCCAAGCCAGGGGTCGCGCCTGGGGGACCGACGGCCAAGGAGGCCGGAGCAGGGATAAGGCCCACAAAGCCAGAGGAACTGATATGCCAGGTGGGAGAGCACGCTGCAGAGCCTGTGGAAACCAGCCTGCCTCTCCACACCCGAGATTCCACAGGATTTCACCCATAAGGCTGTGTATGCAGGTTCACCCCGTATATGTGGCAGGTGGAGGGACACTCAAGTTCCTTGTATAAAAATATCTGACCGTACAAGGGCCTTTCTATTACTCCCTTTAGTGACTTCATGTGAATACATGGCTGTGGAAACTAAAGAGTGTCTCAGTCAGCCACGGCTGTGTAACAAGTGAGCCCAGGTCACCTTGCCTCACAGTGCCTTTGCTGACCACCACCATTTCCCCTCCCAAGACCCCCCACTGTGTCTGGGTGGCAGGAACTGAGACACAAGCCTGCTACATCTCTGCCCGTGTGTGCTGTGGAATAATCCTTCTGTACACTGTGTGAATATATGTCACTGTGATTGGTTTAATAAACAAGCTGAACAGTCAACAGCTAAACAGAATGAAGTTAGGCAGGAGAATGATGGGATGAGGAAGGGCGGAGTCAGAGGAGGCGCCAGCCAGATGCAGAGGGAGCAAGGGATGAACTGCCATGCTAATAAAGGTGCCGACACGTGGCAGAGTATAAATAAGGAAAATGTAGGCACTAGTTAGTAACAAGCCTGAGCTATTGCCCGAGCATTTACGATTAATATAAGTCTCTGTGTGGTAATTTGGAAGTGGCTTCCAGGACCAAAAACTCTGCCAAAAACAAACGCACATACGTGTCAGAGCCAGTGGCTTCTCCACCTGTTCACCACATCTTTGGCCAGCCCGGCCACTTCAGGAGATGAAGTTCGTTCTGTTCCATCCACTTTACCCTTGCCACATTCCTACACATCCTATGGGACCCCATGGCCATCCCTTGCCATGGCCTAGAACCTGTGAGCTACTCACTTGCTCCTTCCTGGTTCACAGGGATACCGAGCAGCCAGCTGGAGAGCACACTCTGTCACTGGCACCAAGACTCTTTTTCAACTCTAGAACAAGAGAGAGCGCCCGGCCCATCTGAGGAAGGCCAGCTGTAGCCTCCCCAATCCTCTTTCCATGCTTCAACAATGCAGACATTACTAATCAATGGCAGGTGGAATTCCCCTAAGGGTGTACACAAGCTCTGGGGTCCGAAGCTCATCCAGGTCCCCATTTCTGGACTTAGTTTGCAGCCATTAAAAACTTCTACTCTCAGAAGTAGACAGCTCAGCAGTCGAGAGCACAGTCTGCTCTTCCAGGGGACCCGGGTTTCGGTTCCCAGCACCCACATGGCAGCTCATACCATCTGTGACTCCAGTTCCAGGGGAACTGATGCCCTTACAGACAGGCAAAACACCAATGCACATAAAACAAAATTAAATCATTAAAAAAAACCTCTATTCTCCTGGCCATGTGGGTTCAGGCACCCAGGATGCTGAGGCAGGAGGATTGCTTGGATGGCAAGCCTGCATCACTGTCTCAGCTCCATTTTTCTTGTTTGGCCCACACATCAAGGACACAGTCCCACTCTGCTCCTGGGACGGCACCGTCTCTGGGTAGCCTCCTGAGACCCTCTGCACTCTGCTGTCTTCAAAGGCTCTGTGAGCATCCAGGAGCTCCTGAGTGGACTGCAGACCAGCTCTCCGGACCAGGGACAGCTGCCTCTCTCTCCTCTTCCCGAGAATCCCACTCCAGTGCCCCCTTCAGGGAGCCCCATCCCTGTCCACTCAGGACCCTCCCGTTCTGTGCGCGCGTCCGCAGGAAATGACAGGGACTGAGCAAGTCTCCACTGAGCCACAGCCGGGGAGCTCACCTCTGTCGATCCTCTGCAGAAGGAGGCCCTGGATGACGTCCCTGCAGACACCCTCGGTGGTCAGAACCTGGCAGCCCATGGCCAGGATGTCCCCATCCACCTCAGGCTGTTCCTAGGACCACAGTGAGGAGCTTGGCTGGATGCAGGGCCCGTGTGCTCCCCCAGCCCTGGCCAGATCTGCAGGGGTGCTCTTGCTTCCCTGTCTGTAACAGGGACTTGCTCACCCATGGTCACACATGCCACAGCATGGGTTACAGTGTCAGAAATGGACTAAGGCCACACAGCCATCCCACCTCCCAAGTGTCTCAGCTGGGACCCAGCCACAGCTGCTTCCTCTGAAGAGTCCTGTTAGCATCTAGTCACCCTCAGGCAGCTAGAAGGCTGCGACCTCCCCATCCGTACCCTTCCTGTGTTTCTTCCCTCAATGACGCCTCTCTGGCTCAGTCCTGCCCCAGGACCTTTGCACAGGCGGTTCTCCCCTATAAACCCAGACCCATGGAGCCCGCGCAGGCTCAGCACCGCTGGGGTGGAACTCTGGGAGTGTGTGTGGTCAGCAAGCATTAGGGATGAGCCAATGCACAGGGCACTGTGGAAGCCCAGAAGAGCCCCCACCCAGCCTGGGGCACAGAGGTGGGGTCTTGGGCTCCAGTGGCTTCAGGCAAGAGTGGGCACACTGTCCCCTCCAGACAGATGTCTCAGGTGTCCACTCACCGAGTTAGAGCTCACCCCAAGCTGGCTCCACACAAAGGGCCAGAGGATTCCCAGCAGCCAGTCCCGGGTGAACCTCGACCGAGCGGTCTCGCTGTCCGAGGTGAACTTCTGCAGGGGACACAGCCAGCCTGTAAACGGCCCTCAGCACTCTGGGGCTCGGGCCCCTCCCCAACCTCACCTTCAGCACAAGGCCTCTGACTTTCTCCAGCTGCTCAGCTGCCTGGTCGCAGTCCAGCGCCGACGTCAGACACTGGTCAGCCAGTTCTAAGAAGGTGGTGACGGCGGCCGCCATAAGCTGTGAAGGAGACGCCCATGTGACCCCACACCCCAGGATGATCCCACACCGCAGGACCTCCGCTCTGGCTCCAGTCTGAGGAAAGATGTCCAGCCTCCCCGGGGAGTACTCCTGTGCAGCGTACAAACTGAGCATGTATGCCGAGCACCAACGGCTTCCCCTCAGCCTGTTCCTCCTTCACGCCTGCGTCCACGGCAGGGCCCTATCCCTGCCTTCAAAACATGCTGTGGAATAATCTTTTTGTACACTGTGAAGTTTTGTCACTCAGGTTGGTTTAATAAAAAGCTGACTGGCCGGTAGCTAGGCAGGATTTTTGAGGCAGAGAGAATGTTGGGAAGAAGAAGGGTGGGGTCTGAAGGCCATGAGGAGACTAGAGAGAAGCAAGGTGAATGTGCTGCGTTGAAAGAAAGTCCCTCCATGTGGCAGAGGGTAGATAAGAAACATCGGTTAATTTAAAATGTAAGAGCTAGCTAGTAACCAGCCTGAGCTATCGACCAAGCATCTATAATTAATGATAAGTCTCTGGGTGGTTATTCGGGACACAGAGAAACTCTGCCCGTAAAAACATGTCTTTCTTCTTGTTTTAGACAGGCGGGGCCTCACACTGTCCTCAAACTCACTGTGAGGCTGAGTTCGACCCTGGCACCCTGGTCTTCCTGCCTCAGCCTCCCAAGTGCTGGGCCAGGCCTGCACGCCACACCTCCATCTGGACCAGGGCTTCCCGCCTCCTCCACTCTTGCCTTACAGACAGAACTCCTAACAGCAGACAGAGCGTTCCACACCTGAGTGCGGCCATGCCCCTGTCCTTGCTCACTCACCTCTGAGGCTCCCACTGCCCTCCACAGACTCATCCTCTCTCCAGGCTCTGCCTGCCTACCAGCTGGACCCATTCCTTGCCCATAAATGCTCCCTCCCTCCCTCTACTAGGGACCCCAATGCATCCTTCTCATTCACTCTTCTCACCTGTTGGGCAAGATCTTGGGCCCCAAACACCAGGCTCCGCATCCCCAGGAAGCCAAACGGGTCTGCCAGCTGGGCCAGGTGGCCGCGGTTTCTCTCCGCCTCCCGATAGCAGGCCTGCATCAGCTCCGGGTCCCAAGGGATCTCCCCAAATTCATAAACCTGCGTACATGTGAACGGCAGTCCGACGAGGAAACACCATGGCTTATGATACAGACGGCCAAGGCGGACGTGCCACTGACGGCCCCCACGCTAACCTCCCTGCGGAGCCGTGTGCCCGAAGGGTTCTTGCGCAGGTGGTGAGACAGCCGGTCCATGCCCCGGATGAGGAGAGTCCGAACGGTTTGGAGCGTGGCTTCCACCGGGCTCAGCAGCGCAAGGGTAAGCTGGGGCAGTTGCGGATCCACCATGCTGCACAGGCATGCCTCCAGGGGGTCCCGGATCTCGGCTGAGGGGATATGTGGACCTGGATTTTCCTCCACCAGGCACTCAGTGGATGCACAGGAGCAGGGACCTCAGCCTGGCCAGCCGGGTACCCATTTTACAGATGAGGAAACTGAGACTAGGAGCAGTGAGACCTGGCGCAAGGGCACAGGCCGAGGAAGCAGAAGCTGATTCAAACCCGGGTCTTAATAACTGGGCTGCAGAGCAGACCCTGCAAGGCCACCGCCACCTCGTGTCTCCTACCTGGCCCACAACAGGCCAGGGTCTCTCCAGGCTCCAGGCCACGCCCTCTCGCACCATCCCCTTCTCAGGCTGGCTCCAAGCTGGGATCCAGACTCCCACTCTAATCCTCTCCAGCTAACGCCTATTCCCTAGGCCCCGCCCCGTCCCGGTTAGGCCCCGCCTTCCACCCGCGAGGCCCCGCCCCCTCAGGCAAAAACCATGCATCCCGCTAGCCCCGCCCTGACCCCGCCTCCAGTCCACCCTCCCCTGCTAGCAGGCCCAGCTCCCGGCTGGCACCGCCCCTACGTTCCCTGACCCCGCCCCTCAGCCCCCTGCGGCGTTCCTGCCCAGGCCCCGCCCCTCGCCCTGTGGCCCCGCCTTCGCTCTCCCGGACCCACCCGCGTTCCTCGCTCCACCTCTCGCCCTCCCACACCTCTCACCGGGGCTCCCCCCCCCTCCCCCGCGCCTTACCCGGTCTCGCTCACCTTCCAGTTTCTGCGCGCACTGGGCCCGCTGCTGCATGATCTGCTCGAACTCTGCGCGCACTGTCCTCTCCAGCTTCGCCAGCAGCGCGTCTTTTTCGGGCTGGAATGCGCGCAGCCCTGCGGATACCCGGGCCAGGACGGTCGCGTGCACAGCGTTGAGGAACTGCAGCGTCGAGGGTGGTGTGGGCGAAGGCGTGGGGCTCGGGGCGGCTCCCTTCCCTCCCTTTCGCTCGCCTCATCCCCCACCCCCCCCCCGCCGGGTCCGGCTCCGCACCTCCGCGCAGCCCCGGGCCCGGGCGCGCCCCGCACCGCGCAGGCCCCGCAGCGTCTGTGCGCGCAGCGCCGGCAACAGTTCCCGCATCAGCTCGGCGCTCAGCACCTGCAGGGGAGGCGTGAGAGTGTAGTGCGTGGCGAGTGGCGGAACCTGCCCGGGACACCGGGACACCGGGACACCGCTCACCTCCGCATCGGAGCCCAGTGTCGCGTCGTCGCCACCGGCAAAGCCCCGGCGTCGTCGAAAGAGCTGCACGGCGTCCAGGAAGGCGCAGGCCGCGGGCACCCGGCTGCGCTGCAGGACTGAGGGTGCCGTCAACCACGCGCTATGCCCCGGCCCTCCCCAGGGAGCCGCGCACCTACGCCCATCGCCCTCCCGCTCCCCACCTGCGCCCCACCCTGGGACGCACCGGTGGCTCTCAGCCGGATGGCACCCTGCAGGCCGAGCCTCCAGGCGCGCTGCGCGCCTCGCTTGCCCGCACAGAAGCAAAGGTGAGCCCGGAAAGGGTGCACGAGGAAGAGCGGGAAGCTCACCGGCTCCTCCAGCACTCTCAGCGGCTCCTCCTGAGCGAGGTCTCCTGAAAGCAAGACAGCAGCCTGAAAGAGCTGGTGTAACTTCTGGACCAGCCTGGGCTTCAGAGCAAAAACTCTCAGAGATTAAACAGAGCCGAAGCCCTAGAACTACGTGGGTCCGGCGAGATGAACTCGGCATCGTTTTGGAGCAAGTGAACAGCGACAGAGTGTGAGAAACTCGAAGCCCAGGACCGCAGCTGGCCTGTGCACCCTGGCCAAGCCTGCACACTGTTTCCCACCATGTCTGTCTCCCTGCATGCTTACCGACACTGGGTTTATGGTTTTTTATTATTTTTAACCATCTGTATGTTTATGCATGTGTATGTAGGCGCCTGGGGTAAGAGGCATCAGATGCCCTGGAGCGGGAGTTCCAGGCAGTTGTGAGCAGCCTGATGTGGGTGCTGGGAATCTAACTCTGTCTGATCCACTGAGCTATTTTTCTAGCCCTAATTTTTATTGTATTGTTTTGTTACTTTATTTATTTGTTTGTTCTCCAAGACAAGGTTTCTCTGTGTAGCCCTGGCTGTCCGAAACATATTCTGTAGTCCACGCTGACCCCAAATTCAGAGATCTGCCTGCTCTGCCTCCAGGTGCTGGGAGCAAAGGTGTGCATTGCTTTTGTTTTGTTCTTCAGACTCCTTGCTATTTGGTTTTGTTCCATTGGCTTTACTGATGTCCTCCCAGGGACGGTGGGTACTTCATTTCCTTCCCAAAGCACGAGTACTCAAGGATCGATACCGTCCTCCAAGGGACAGCTGAGTCACACTGTGTGTGGGAAGTTTATCTACTGGTGATAGATAAAGGAGGATCCAGTCAGCTTCACCAAGAGCACAGGCAGGGTGGGATGGCCACCGGCCTCGGAGGAAGCGACACTAAAGGGACCCAGGGATCCTTACCAGAGGAGCTTGGGCAGAGGTCATCCAAAAGGCAGAGGTATTCACGCTGGGAGGTGAGCAGCGTGTACCCGGTCAGGGCTGTGGAGCCCAGGGGACGGCCCCCCGACTCATACTCCTGTGACCAACCAAAGACATGAGACGAGACTGAGCACAGGAGGCCATCGGCAAGCTTCGAATCACTACTCTACACCTCTGTGGGCGTCTACAGCTCAGGACCTTGTCTGGTATTGGTCAGAACTCTGACCTGAGCCACGCCCCCAGCCCCTCACTGGGGGATTCTAGGCAGGGGCTCCACCCCTGACCACGCCCCCAGCCCCTCACTGGGGATTCTAGGAGGGGCTCCACCCTGACCACGCCCCCAACCCTCACTGGGGGATTCTAGGCGGGGCTTCACCCCTGAGCCACACCCCCAGCCCCTCACTGGGGGATTCTAGGCAGGGGCTCCACCCTGACCACGCCCCAGCCCCTCACTGGGGATTCTAGGCAGGGGCTCCACCCCTGAGCCACGCCCCCAGCCCCTCACTGGGGATTCTAGGCGGGGCTCCACCCTGAGCCACGCCCCCAGCCCCTCACTGGGGGATTCTAGGCGGGGGCTCCACCCTGACCACGCCCCCAGCCCCTCACTGGGGATCCTAGGCAGGGGCTTCACCCTGACCACGCCCCCAGCCCCTCACTGGGGGATCCTAGGCTCCACCCCTGAGCCACGCCCCCAGCCCCTCACTGGGGGATTCTAGACGGGGCTCCACCCCTGACCACGCCCCCAGCCCCTCACTGGGGATTCTAGACGGGGCTCCACCCCTGACCACGCCCCCAGCCCCTCACTGGGGATTCTAGGCAGCAGCTCTGTCATCCACCCACCTCCTTTTGGCTGAACCATTCCAGACGTCCATCCCCACGCAGGACACAGAAGGTGGGTTGCCACTGTGGTGGGTGGCCCCACAGCAGGGTCAAGGGTCCTTGGTGCTCCCGGACTCGAGGCAGCTTCTGCAAGGGGATGCCTGCTGTTGTCGGGTCTAGAACAGGTTTTAGGGTCCCCTGAACTCTGCCCGACTCTGTTGCTACCAAAAGCAGGGACTCAGATTTTTTAAAAAAACATTTAACTGATTGATGGGTGCAGGATCGAATTGTGGTACCCTGGGTAGGCCACCAACTGCCGGGTCACAGGGACCCTCCTTCCTCGGTTGCTCAGGTAGTCCGTAGGGAGCCTGGGCTACGGAGACCCAAAGGAAGACCAGTGTCACGTGGTTTGGTCACACGTACCCACCATACGCCCAAGGCTCAAAGGCAGCAGCTGCCACCCACAGCCTGCCAGCCTGGCACCGGGAAGGCTGAGGCCGGAGGGTCGGGAATTCAAGGCCAGCCTCAGCTACACTGCCAGGCTGGCCCAGCTACGTGAGACTCTGTCTCAAACAAAACAAAACAAAATTGTAGCAGGTATGGGGCATGCCTGCATGGGACAAGGAGAGTCCCCAGATGTGACCTCTGCCCACAGAGCTTCCCCCCGGCAGGGAGGGAGCCAGTGAAGAGCCCCGGGTCCCAGCCCCCTGTGTGGTGTGGCCCTCGGGTGGCTCGCTCCACCTCGCTGGGCCTGAGTTAGTCCAGGACTGTCCCCGGGTAGGGGTGGATGGAGGCCATGGGAGCCGATTAGCGGCTCCATCTCCAGGCCGTTTGACCTCGCTAACAAACCCTGAGCAGGGTCAGAGGGCAAGGGGCAGGAAACACGGGCACGCGGTCCTCTCAAGGCGTGCTGCCCTGCACAGCAGGGCTGATGCTGGCAGAAGCTGCCCCCCAATCTATCCCTTTGCCAACCTCAGGGCCATTACACACGCTGTGCCCCCCCCCCCCCCGCAGGGACACACTCCCCCGGCCTCTGCCTGCCTCCACCCCCGGAGCGTCCTGGTCCACCTGTGCCAAGGCCCTGGGGCCGGCACATCCTCCCCTGCTCTGTGTCCTCAGTCGCGTGTCAGCACCGCTGAGAACGTGGAGGGGGGTCGCTCCGCTGGGTCCCCAGGCCACGCACCTTGGTGTGGGACAGCTGGCGCCCGCCCGTCTCCCGGGGCTCTAGCTCCCTGGAGATCTGCCTCAGCATGGCCGTCGCCAGCTGCCTGCGGTAACAGGGTAAGAAGACCCTCAGCAGGCCGTCCACTTGACCTGGGGGGAGAAGGGCCAGCACTGTGGCCAGGGGACCGGCCTGCCTTCTCAGGCCGAGCCAGCCAGCCGGATGAGCCCCGGCAGAGGCGAGGGACCCTGCCTCCATGTCTAAGAGGGCAGCCGATGGTAATCGCTGGCCTACACACGCACACAAAGGTCTTTTCATCCAAGAATATTGTCGCACCTCAGGAGAATGAGGCCCAGAGAGGGGGACTCACTCACCCAATGGCACACAGCAAATCCAGGTAGCAGTCAACCCTGAGACTTGGAGAGATGATTTGGAGCACATGCAGGGCTTTGCACGGGCTGTTCCCCTTCCCAATGCTGTCCCCACACTCACTGCCAACCAGACACCCTCTTCCAGCCTGGCCTGCCCACCTCCCCTTGGGGGACAGTCACCAAGTCCAGCCCCACTCTCCCAGGCCCAGCACAGGACAGAGTGCAGGGAGCCTCAGCCTCAGTGTCCATGCAGCCACCCAGCCACGAGGACCACCTGGGGTCAGGTGGGGACCCCACCCCTTCCGTCAGGGCCCTTGAGTCCCCTAACAAAAAATGCCACATTTCACTTTTCACTTTGTTTTGAGACAGGGCCACATGTAGCCCAGGCTGTCCTGGAACTCATATGTAGTCCAGGCTGGCCTCTAATTCAGGGGTCTGTCTGTCTCTTGAGTGGGGTGACAGGTGTGACATGCTCAGCTCCTTGAGTTTCATTTGAATCTGGAATCTTCCAAAGCCAAGCGGTGGTGGCACACGCCTTTAATCCCAGCACTCAGGAGGCAGAGGCAGGCGGATCTCTGAGTTCGAGGCCAGCCTGGTCTACAGAGTGAGTTTCAGGCCAGCCTGGGCTACACAGAGAAACCCTGTCTCAAAACATTACACAAAAAATCTGGGACCTCCAAGCCAAGCGCACTCCTGGCAGCACAAGAGAATACAGGGAACTACAGATCGGGTGCTGGGGGCCCAGGCCAGTGTGGCCTCCTGGGCAGCACGACCCGACCCCTGACCCCCGACCCCTCTGCTCACCCCTCAGCTGCTGCTGCTGCCGTTTGTCCAAGGGGCTGGAGGGCCGCACCCCCATCCTGTCACTGTGCAGAGCCGTCCTGGCCACCTCTGCTCAGGGTGCTGGGTGGCAGGCAAGTGGCCCAGGTTCCAGGAGGGTGCTGTCGCTGGGTCAACCCTCTGCCCCCCCCCCCCCGCACCTGCCTCCCCCGTCCCCTGGGGGCATCCCGGACCAAGACTGGGGTTTCTGTGGGGGACAGAGGGGGCCGCCCCAGGGGAGACCAAGGCAGTGTGGGGAAAACAATGCCCTGGGACAGGTGGGTGGCACATCTCTGCCATGCCCGCACTCAGAAAGCAGAGGCAGGAGTCACGAGTTTAGGTCATGGAGGCCAGCCTGGGCTACGTGAACTCCTGTCTCAACAGAAGGAGCAGATAGCTGACTGAAGAAATGGATGACCTGGGGCGTGGGAACACAACCCCCCATGCGCCCTCAGTCTCCTTCTGCCTTCCCTCCCCGAGGCTGGAGGTCAGCAGCACCCTGGAGCGCCAGGCAGATCCCAGGCGCAGTGGCCCCTTGAGGCCGGGCACAGGCGACGGACGTGCCCCATGCGGAAGTGCTCACACGGGGTCCTCACGGCCACCTCTGCCCTCGGCTGTTGGAAGTCCCCGGCAGTGCGGCTTCTTCCCACTGTGTCCTCACTGGCTCGTGTCCCAGCCTGTCCCACTTCCTCATTGTCGCAGCCCAAGGGTCCTCGGGGACCAGACACCAGAAGCAACTTCCCATCTGCGGTTCCGGACCGCACCCTTCCGTGCCACGCTGGCTCAGGGAGGTTTCAATTCCCACTCCCGCCGGGCTCGTGTGACCTTCCGGGGATGCCCCTGACTCCCACACTGCGCCGGGCCCACCACCCTCTCCCGCTAGGTCCACTTCGTGCTCCAAGGCAGCGGCTGCTCGAGCTCTAGCCACTGCGCCCACATTTCAGCCTCTGCAAGAGGAGGTGGGGGAGCACCCGAGAGTCACCTCGGACACTTCTGCCATCGTTATGCGACCCTAGGGCATCATGGGGGAAGCTCACCGTAGTTCGCCTTGCTCAAGACTGGGCAGGCACGCAGGGAGCCGGAGGGGCAGAGCGCAGGGCAGGCTGAGGTGCCAGGTGAGCCCTGGCATGTTCCCAGCGGCAGGGGTGCGGCCACACGGCCGGAACACAGCAGCTACACGGTACCCGAGCCGGTTCTGGGACCTGGGGGCTCACATCCCGCCCCCCCCCCCCAGTGCGCAGTCCGCGGCCCCCGAGCTCGCCGCCCGGCCCACCCTCGGCCACCAAGAACCACAGTGCCAGAGTTCCAGGAACGCTCCGTTTAATCCCCAGTGGGTCCCTCCGCGGCCCGAGGCCCGCCCCGAGGCCCGCCCGGCCGCTACAGCGTGGAGTGCTTCTCGAAGGGCACCGACAGCAGCCGCGCGGCCGCCTCGTCCAGGAACCAGCAGAGGGCGCCCGTGCGCGGCTGCACCATGGCGGCGGGCAGCGCGTCGTCCTTGTCCTCCAGGATGCGCTGTGGAGACCGGACACCCGCCTCAGACCCCGCGCCCTCAGACCCGGCCAGGACCCAGGGCCGGGACCCGGGATCTGCTCGGACCCGGGGCAGGCGCCCGCTCTGCCCCGCACACCATGGGCTCTAAAGCTCCCTGGTTGCAACAGGCGGACCCATGCGGCCCAGGCTGGCCTTGAACTTGGTCCTCCCAGTGTGGGGACAACAGGTGGTGCCGGGAGAGCTCAGGCTGTCGGAACTCCAGCCCGGTGACACGCCCCTTACCCACTAAGCCATCTTGCCTTTAAAAAAATTACAGACTTTCGTTTTCTTTATTTCTATTTTGTGTGTGTGTGTGTGTGTGTGTGTGTGTGTGTGTGTGTGTGTTCCCGGCATGTGTCTGTGCACCGCGTGCATGCCTTGTGCCCACAGAGGCCGGAGGACGGCGTCTGAACCCTGGGACTAGAGCTACAGATGGCTGTGGCCTACCACGGTGGTGCTGGGTCGAACCTGGATCCTCTGGAAGGCCAGCGGCACTCAGTGAGCCGCATCTGCAGCCTTATTATTATTTTTCCTTTCAGTGTGTGGAGTGTCCCGCTCCATCACCTGCACCCTGTCCCTTGACACAGGGTCTCTAACTAAGTCTGGAACTAGGCCAGCGGCCATCAACCCAGCAATCCTGTCCTGACAAGGGGTGAGAGATGCATGGCCACACCCAACACTCACTCGGGGGCCGGTGATCTCTGCACTTTCCTCACTTCCCCGCCCATGACCACCATCTGACCTTCTGTGACCACCCATCTGACCTTCCGTGACCACCCGTCTGACCTTCCGTGACCATCATCTGACCTTCCATGACCACCCATGACCACCCACCCATCTGACTTTCCGTGACCACCTGTGACCACCCACCCGTCTGACCACCCGTGACCACCCATCTGACCTTCCGTGACCACCCGTGACCACCCACCTGTGACCACCCGTGACCACCCTGCCGCCTGTCACCTTCAGCACAGCTGCCTTGCCTTCCCCAGTGGCCACGAAGATGACGCTCTGGGCTGCATTCAGCACGGGGAGGGTCAGGGTCACTCTCTGCAGTGGTGGCTTTGGGGAGTCACTGATGGGAGCCACAATCCTCTGCTGCTCCTGCAAGAAGGCCAGGTGGACGGGCCACGCTGTGGGTGTTGTTTCTGCGGCAGGGGACGGACGCGCCCCTGCCGGGCCCACCGAGCGCCACGTGTACAGGTTTCCTGACCGTCCGGTGGGCTTTTGAGACAGGCTCTCCATCTGCGACCGAGGCGCCCTCAACCTCCCTCGCCCTCCGTGCCCTTCCCAAGAGCTGGGACGACAGGCATTCGCCACCAAGCCCAAGGGATCCGAGGCTGGGCAGGGCTGGGCTGGGAGGGCGTGGGCACCAGACGCCCAGGAGATGGGCACAGGCGAAGATGGGTCCCCATGCGCACCTGCAGGAGGGGATGGCCAGGGAAGAGCGAGCAGGTGTGGCCATCGGGGCCCACTCCCAGGATCAGCAGGTCGAACACAGGCACAGCATCTCCTTGGAAGGCCTGATGGGGAGGGTAGAGGGTCAGAGGTCACACAGCAAGGGGCTGGAGCCAGGTCTCCATGTCCGGGTTCCCCAGCCTTAGTGAAGAGCACGTCCATCATGTTCTCTATACAACATGGTGGCCACCCCGGCACCGGGCGGCTTCGGCATGGTATGCCGTCTGTAGTAGTTTTTGAGGCTAAGTGTCACCCTCAGGCCGGCCTGAGCTTGGACAGGCCTCCTGCCGCAATCTCCCAGGTGCTGGGGCTGCAGGCACGCTACCACACCAGACTGATCCAGTCTGGGGGCTCGGTTTCCCCCGCAGTGACCCTGGGTCTGAAGATGAGTGTCCCTGAGATGTGAGGCCCCAGCCTGGGCCTCTCTCTGCAACAGGCCATCCCCTCAGAGTGACAGCCCGCGTCCCCAAGTCTTCCGCAGCTTCTCCGCCGGTTCTGTGACCCACCTGGCTCAGTTTCCTGGCATAATCCTCTGCGGCGTCCTCCACGGGCAGGGCAGGGTCGATGGTGAGGACCTGGCTGTCTGGGATGGGCAGCTTTGAGAGCAGGTGCGTCTGTGGAGGGGGAAGGGACAGGTCATCGAGTCACGTGACCGTGGCAGCAGCGGCCGGCACAGCTCTGTCCAAACAGGAACTTGCCTAACGCCAGGAGCCCTGTGTCACTCAGACAGGCACTGCCTGTGGCCTGACTCCTCAGGCTGCCTTCTTCCAGAGCCAGATCTGCCTGGGGCTCCCACCTTAGGGACCCAGGCTGGCTGCGTCCAGCGTGCAGCTGGCACCTGGTGGCCCTGGGGAGAGGGTACTCGTTGAATTCCAGGCCCTTTGATCTGCTCCGAGACCTGGGCAGCCAGCTGGCCTGTGTCTCCACGTCCCGCCTAGTGGAGCAGGTACAGGCTTGGAGCAAATGGCAAAGCGTAAGGTGCCAGTGCCCCTGGGCGGGGATAGCGGGGCCACTGTGCCGGTCACCGCTCAGGACGCTGCGGACCCTGCCTGGGGGACAGATGAGCACAAGGCTCCAGCACCAGGCCTCGGGAAGGTGTGTGAGCCAGGAAGGCAGAGCTGGATTGGCTGCTGCATTTACTCTCCTGGGCTTGTTTCAGCCCACTGGGGCCCTAAGACACCTACTGCTCGGGTGTCAGGCCACCTAGGGGACCCCTAACATCACATCCTCAACAGACTCCACCTGGTGGCGAAATCTGGCCTCCCTGGGTCACCTGGGTCGAAGACAGAGCTTTAACTGTCCCTGAGAGGGGCCTAGGTATCGATCCTTGCTTTATTTCTCTTAGGTGGGTAGCATGGGCATGGTCTCAGGTGGCACTGACTGGCCTCCGACTGGGGAGCTGGTGGTGACCTTGAACTCATGACCCTCCATCCTCCAGCTCCTCGGTGATGACAAGTGAGCACCACCTGCTTTACAGGGTGCTCGGATGGAACCCCGGACCTTGTGCATTCCAGGCACGCGCTCTGCCACCTGAGCTACAATCGCCAGCCGAGGTACAAGCACTACACCAACTTAGTGCTTAGTACCCGCAGCCCACGCTTCAGTGCAGTCTGGGGGGCAGGCACCCCGTTCACAGTGGTGCGGTTTCAAAACTGAGGTCCCGAGATGAGGGCCACGGGGACCTGAATCTTTGGGCCTCGGTTTCCCCACCTTGAAGCGAGTGTGGTGGTCCCTGCCTCGGGGTCCATGTCACGGGGCCGGCCTCCCCAAGGGGGCCGTGGCAGACACCCGGGGGTGCTCTGAGCTCAGTCCTCCATGCCTCAGTTTCCCTGTGTGTGAAGCAGGGCGCTCCGGACCCTATGGGGCGGCTCGTGATGGAGGTGAGGGATGGGGGCCGACACACCCCGGGGCGGGCCGGGCCCACCAACAGCCACGGCCCTCGGGGGCCAGGCCGTGGCCTCAGGAAGACGCGGTTCCTGCTCGGGCCAGGCC